CAGCGCCCCGCTGCAGGCAGCGCTGCGGGAGGTCTCGCCACAGCCCCTTTCCGAAACAGCCCTTCCGCTCCCCCAGCCTGGCTGCGGCCCCGCACTCCCGGGGAGCGAGGCCTCGGGTGCAGCTCTCCTCCGGTTCCCGTTCGGAGAGGGATGTCCACTGTCACCCAGCAGAGCCTGCTCCGCTTCTGCTGGCCCGGCCTCTGTCATTAGTGCCAACGAAATAGTGATCCCTCACCTAACGCCTGCTTGGTGGGTGATGTCAGTGACGATCTTCAGTGCCAGTCTTCTGCCAATCGTTGGGTTTTTTTAAAAAAAACCAAAGCAAACCAAACCTAGAGATAGCCATCAGCTTCACTTTTCCCTTTCTTCTTCTTCCTGTGTGAACTGAAAGGTGTTTTGGGAGAGTGTAGAGAGACAGAAACATTGAGAGAGGAAATCTGGGGTTGTATATTGAAGCTGCTCTGAATGAAAGAAGTTAATGACCTCATGGTAAATGAATGACAGCGTGTGCTGGGCGTGCTTTTCAGTTTTCCTGTGCAGCAAAAGTTTATTGATGGTTTTATGATAACCTACTGGAAAGTTGATTCTTATCTACATACTACAAAGTGCAACAAATTATGTTCGGATGTAAAATGTAAAAGCAAATTCAGATTACCTTGTGTTTTAAAATAAAATGAAAGCTGAGACTACAGCCCAGAGATTTGGAGACAGCAACATATGGGACTACTACAGTTGCCTCAAAATCAAGTCTTTAATAATTTTAAGAAGTTCAGTACTTTTTATTATAGGGGTAGTCCAGTGTTGTGTCTTCTTCTTCCCCTTAAAGATTGTTGCAGTGCTTCTTGTTAAGATAATTTCAATATGCTTGTAATAGCTTTTCCAAGCTTACTGAATCATGTTCTCAGATTTTAGCTGCATTTTGACATACTGTTTTTTTCTGGTAACCTGCACTGCACTGCAAAGAATAAAAACAGTCCTGCCAAAGCATGTCAGAATTAAATAAGCAAAGATACATTCACTCTGAGTGTAAAAGTATCAATTAAATGACATCAGCACAAAGCAGAGAAGGGATAACAGAAAGGTAAAAGTAGCTGTATACTTATTTTTAATCTCAGTTTAATTTTAGTGGAATTGAATAAAACCTGCCTGAGGACAGGTGACTCATTTAGGAAAATGACAAAGTCATGGTAAGGATTATCTGAAATTAATGCCAGACTTTGATCATTAGTGTTTACTTTTCTAGTTTGTGTTCTCTATGATGCATCACACCTTGCTACTTGTTTTAACTTACGACTTTCAGCTGATGCTATCAGTCAGAATAAGGGAAGTATTTTGAAAATTTCAGTTAAGTGATTTGGGGAAAAAATAACACATAATTTATGTTTCAGTGGAATAATAAAATTGCAGAAAATTTTCCTATATGTATCCACTGAAGATTTCACATGGGTATTTTAAAATGTGTAATGATTCATAAATATTTCCTAATTTCAGTGAAAGGAGTTAACTACTATAAAAGTAAATTCAGGAGATTTAGGCTAGGGACTGAAATTAACTTGTGTGGTAGTAACAAATCAATTATTTCAGATATTTGTTCTGCAAATGAATATTCTTTTTGGAAGAAGTTTTTTAAAATAAGACAGAGTAGTGATAAAGTAATCGCTAATATTGGTGATTATACTTTTATTAAGGATTTAAAATCCTGTTTTAAAGTTTGATTGTTGACTTGCCTGTTCTTCTGCAATAAACTTCTAGTCAAAAGACCAGACCTTCAGATTGTGTTGGTTCCCAGTACTGTAGACTTTAAGTTCAGTAGTAGTGAAGGAAAGGTGTTCTTTATTTTCTGTAAGTTAAATCTAGCATTATCAGTTGGTCTTTTTGGCTGTATAGGGAGGTATAGACTGATACTGACACAACCAGCTCTTAAGTGTTTGTTTATAGGAGAATTTTTGCTATGTGCATCTGAGTGGACCCATCTGGGAATCTGTTTTGTTAAAGTGAAGTCAGTACTGCACGCTTTCTTTTAAGTTTGGAAGATCAACTGGCATGAAAAACTATGAACATTGTAGTGCTGAAGGTTTCTTCACTAAGGAGTGGGGCAGAGCAGGAGGGATGCTCCCCTCTTAGAGCTTTACTGACTTTGCAAGAGAATACATTGCTGCTTTCCCTTGTCCAGGTTTATGTTGTGTGAAGCAGCCACTGCTTAGTACACTCTACTAAGAGTCCTAAGCAAACCCAAGTTTGTCAGCATCCTTCCAAGTGCAGTAAGAGAAAAGCATTGCAGCCTGCCTTGAAGGCAGGTACCTTTACACTGTTAGACAAGCAAGGAGGGAATGGATTTAAGAATCCCAGCACTCTTTAACAGGTACCTTGTTAATCTTAGTTGAGTTTTATTGTTGCTAAGTCTGGAATGGGGAGGGATAAGTGTTCATGGGTATACTACTACCAGATAGTGTGTCCTACTACTCTGCATGCAGTCACGTACCATGCGTGCAGAGAGAGAGAGGGGCAGGGATTCATAAGAGCATTCATGTTTCTGATGATCTTAAGTGCAGATTGATAATAGTTTTCTAGTTTTCTGAAATATTACCTGAAAATGAGCAGTAGTCTTGAACTGAGTCAAGGTATAAACATCTTTAATATGAAGTTAACACTGTAGCATCTCTTGTCTCTCAGTTTCAAGTTTTGCAAAGAATAAATTTCTGAAAAAATCATTTATTGAAGCTTTTGGGTACATACTCGTATGCCTTTACTTCTGATGTTTTGGAGCCGGCAACAGCTAGTGGGAATTACCTGCTGCTGAGTGCAAGCACCTCCATATCAAATAGTAGCACTGAGACCTGTGAAGGAGATTATCTCTATATTCTTCCCACAGAGAGCCTGGATGTGCCAGAGTTGCCTCTTGTAAGCTGTGTTTGAATCCATAGGGGTGCAGAAACATGATGTGAGCTCAGATGAAGGCTTAGATCTCTTTTCCCAGCTCCTGTCTGGGGCTGCACGGAGGCTTGTAGCTCTTGAAAACGTACCTCACTCCTGTTCCTTGTCACCTTCTGCTTTCTTTCTTCTGATCCACATTCTATGAAGTGATAGTGAGGTGGTTCATTTATCTAGAATCTCCTCTCCCAGATTACAGTGGGAGATGTTGGATAAGAGAAGATGAACCTCCTTTGAAGAACAGAGCCTTCATGAGCTCACTCTGCATACTGATTGGACCCATATTCTCCTTCTACCCCAAAACCCACTTATTTCCCTACTCTTCTATTTCTTGTTTCCCTGTTTGGGTGTCACCTCTGTTACCTATTACAGACCTTGTATTTTGTCTGGGCCCTGCACCTTCGTTGTGCATTTATCCTACAGTTATTCTCCTACTGTACGCTGCCCCTCAGGCTGCTCTCCTGGTGAGCACTCACCTATATAATGTATGTTACTCAAAAGCGAAAAAGCAAAGTCTCTTCAGAGTTGTTCTATTTACTAATGAAAAATGAACCTTACTTATTTGGGGAAAATAAACACCGGTGTGTTCATGAGACTCATCAAAGCTTGAGGCAGTTAAAGGAGAAGGTAGAATGCTTGGTTGGCCTTCACCATTGCAGGAGAGCTATCCACCTGCTGTGTGTTCAGATGGTGCAGAGAATGGAGGCTTATGTAGTGCTTGTTGCAGACAACTGTGGTATGTTTATTATATTTATGGTAGTCATGTGTGACCTTAGTGTTGCGTTCTGTGTTTCTACTGCTGTGATACGTGTGCTGTCGAGTTAAGTTCTATTGGGCTGTTCTGTAATGCTCTGTCCAGAAAAGGTGGCGAGACCACAGCAGCTATATTGCTAGTGGCTGGTAATTAAAAACCAGTTGTTTTCCTTTCTGTTCCAGGCCATTGATGAGCCTCCCTATCTCACAGTGGGCACTGATGTGAGTGCAAAGTATAGAGGAGCCTTCTGTGAAGCCAAGATCAAGACTGCAAAAAGACTTGTCAAAGTCAAGGTATGTGGTTTTCCTGCAAACAATTTTTTTTTTTGGAAAAAAGTAATCACTTCTCAAAATAGAAAATTCTTTATAGTCTCAAGACGGTTAAGAGGCTGTTCTTTCCTTGGAGGCTGGCAGTGCAGTCTTTGAAATAACAGTAAACTTATTTTTGTTGGAAGGGGAGGGGTTCTCCTCACTCCCACACAATTAAATACGTTATGTTTCTTTCACTGCTTTGTCGTCTGCTTGCATCCAGTATTTGTGGCCTTCAGTGCCACAGGCTGACCTAAAAGTAATTGGTCAAAATATGACAAATTTAGGCTTATTTATGGGTGAATGTTATCAGAAAATAGCTAAAACTCCTCAAAGCAGGTTTAATATGGTTACTTTTACTTCAGCAACACAGGCCACTGCCTTTTAGCAGTGGCAACTAGATAATGCTTCAGGAATAAGATGAAACCCTGCTGTCTTCCAACAAAGACTTGGCATATTGAGTCCTACAGAACAGCAAGCAGGGAATCTCACCTAATCTTTGTGATGACTTGTTAATGACTAAATGAATCAATATAAGCTACATGCGGTACACATAAAAATTGTGTAGAGGGAGTACAAGAGATACTTTAAATTTCCAAGGGATGTTAAAATGTATAATTTCTAGAAATAGAGAACAATGTTTGGGTTTATTTTGAATATTATATAGTAAGTCTACACTGCAAAATGGCCTTATATTTCTGTTTTGATAATGTTGCCCTAAAAGCTTCTAATCTAGGAGCAGGTACTGTTTTTCTGCTCTACCTCTTAATTTCATACAGAAATACGACAGATCAAGGATCAAAAGCACTTACAAAAAATAAATTAGATTGTTGCTCTGCAACAGTTATAGTGGCAGAATATTTTTCTTATATCTACTGTAAATATAAATGAAAATGCATGAATTGTGAATGGTGATAACCTGTTATGGAAGAGCCTCCATTATAAACTGTCGTGCATTGCTTGAATCTGCACTGATGCTGTGGCTGATTTTTGCCTGTAGTATGTGTGAAGAAGAGAGCAGACTATCTCCAAAAAACTCTGGTGGAAGGGTTATTGTCACTTATTTGATAATAATGTTAACTATAATGAGAAGATATTAGTCTTAAATCTGACATCTTTAAAAAGCCTTTAGAGCACATTAGTGGTCTTTTAATTTCATTAGTCATAACTCTTAACAGCATCAGCACCATTGAGTTTAGGCATCTAAGTATTGGTATTTAAGCCGTTAAGTATCAGTATTTAAGCACAGGAATTGTATTGTGCCTAGACCAGTGAAATCTTTACTTCTTTCACCTCTTTAGAGAGTTTTCAGCCCACCTTCTTAGCCACTTGCACTTAAGGTTGTTTTTCATTGGTAAATATTTTCTTATGAGTTTATTACTTGCAGTTTGGTCATTGCAGTGTTTTACAGAAAGATCTTGAAATGGAATGGAATTTTTACTGTACCTTGTTTGTGGAGGCTGTGCCTAAAGCCTTGTGCATTCAAGTTTGTGTGTGTGTATCTTCACTGTCTAGCTTAAGGCAGTTCAGCCCTAGTACTGTTGTTGCTTTGTAGAGTAATGAGATTGGTAGTTCAGTTTTTTTTTAGTGTGTGAGTGCAGTAACAATACCTATTTACGTTTTCTTTCCTCCACCAGGAATGTATATTCCCTAAATTAACAGTGACCCTTTCTTTTTCTCTAAAAATCTCTTCAGCCCTTTCTAGCACATGTCGACTTTCCCTAGTATTAGCTCTAACCAATATTCTTCTTATCAGGTGTACTCCTTCCAGAATTTTGGTAGTTTATCTGCTGCATTTATTTTCCACTTGTTCAACTGTTTCTTCTGGCCCAAATATATTTTATGCCCTAGTCTCCTAGAACTACTAGAGGAAAAGAAAAGTCAGTTGACGTAGTAACATCAGGTTTAGTTTGAAGCTTTCATTTAAGTTTTATAATTAGATACTCTGTTTAGAAAGGAGGATGACAATATTTTTTCAATATGGATTATGTCATTTTCAGGCAAGTAAAATACTTTTAATTGCATCTCCTTTTACCTGCTTTCTTCTTCTGTCAAGTTCTGCTTCCCAGAATATTTTGAGGGATACCTTCATAATAATTTTTCCATCACCAGTATAATTTAAAACATTATTAATTTAACACAAGTGCTATGTATTTATCATTCCAGTATCAATAGGTACTGTATTTCACAGTTTAGCAGTCTTTGGCAGGTTCTGTATATGGCACAGAATTTTACATTAACAGCGTAACTGCATTACACACTTTGTCATGGAAAGCAGTGGAACTTAAGATTTGCCTGGACTCGTGAAAAGGGTTGAAAGCAGTACAAATTTGACTAAAGGACAAGACTTTTCTGTGTTAGAAGAGTGGTAGTCCACTTCATCTTTGTAGGATCTGTCATAGCTTTTCTTAGAGAGCTATTTAAACCAGTTTAGTTTGACAGTGTCTCCTAAAACAGTTAGTACCTTCATCGACACCTGCCTGTATTTGGGCACCATCCTCAGAAGTTTCAGAAGAAACTGTTTTCTGTGTAGGTCTTTATTAACAGAAACTAGTGAAGTACCTGCTGTACAGAGACTACCAGGACTGTCTTTTCCTGACAATGAAGAAAAGGGAAATTCCAACTGAATCTAAACAGGTTGATGATGTGCTGAATGTCTTAATCTTTTGCCTGAGATGGAAAGGACAAATACTATGGGAATTAAAACCCACACGCACTTTCCTCAGCTTCAAGAAAAGCCAGTGGTGTCACACTGAGCTTGGAGTTTGAATATTTCTGTTAATAATCAGTGTTTATCTGAGTACATTTGAGTATCTCAAGCAGCAAAACCTCTTAGTATCAAAAATATTCTCCCCAAAAAGAGTCAAAGCCCCAAGGCAGCTTTAAAAAGAAACCATTCTGGAATACACAATAGCAATTTGCTTTGTTTACCTTTCATCATAGTACATTGTGGCTGGCTTATGGTTTTGGATAGAGTTCCTTTTTGCTGTAAAATACATTTAAGATAATTACAAAAAGTAAAAACGGATGTCTCCAAATCAGAATTGATATACTGGATATTTCTTATAAGCCAGTAGTGACCACAGGTTTCAGATTACTTTGCATCTGAACTGAACTTTTGATTTCTAGATAAATCCCCTAAAAGAGAGAAATAAATACCTGTATCTATCGGGCTGAAGTTCAGAAGGGTAGTCTTTGCTCAGTTTATTTCCTAGCCTGAATCCTTTGTCTGGCTTTCAGGTTACAAAGCATGATTTTGTCTGTCTGGTGGACAGAAAGTATTTGCCATCAGTAGGTGGGATGATGCAGCTCTAAAAAGAACATACTGTCACAGCAATATGTATTGCTGTGGTTCTAACAGCAGATGACTGTTCATGAAGTAGCACCTGGAAGGCATTTTAGTGCATTTGTTTTCTAATCAGCCAGTCAAAGTAGACTCTCTTTAGTCCTGTTTGTAGGTGCCATTGTCAGCTGTTCACTCCTTTCAAGGTTTACAAAACCCCTTAAACTCTCCTCCTAAGGAGACTAAGTAAGAGAATTGGTGTTAGAAGACACTGTTGTTCTGAAGGAAATTTTGCTGTTGCTGTGTGCTATGGAGAAACTCTGTCAACAACAGTGAAAACATAACCTTGGGTACAGTTGTGAACCACGTCCTCAGGTTTAATGTAGGATTGCTGTGGTTGAGAGTTACTATTACACGTCTGAATATCATGTTACATTCTTACTTGTTGGGAATACTAATTAAAACATCATATAGTTACACCAAGTGAGTGTGTTCTGATGTTGGAACACAGCCATTAAACATAGTTGTTGAACTGTTGTTTGTCACTTTGTTTAGAGGTAATGGTTCTATTCTAAAAGGTAAAAAATATTTTAGAAGCTTGGATGACTAAGAAATTGTCTCTTCCTATTTCTGAAATACATGAATGAAGTTTTTTAGCAAGTGGAATAATAATGGTGACTTAACTGTAAGAGTAAGAGAAGGACTATTGACATCTGCATGTGCTTATGTTGCTCAATTGTATCAAGTGATTGTCAGTTGAATTATATTTTTTTAGGTAACTTTTAGACACGATTCTTCAACAGTGGAAGTGCAGGATGACCACATAAAGGGTCCCTTAAAGGTAATAAACTTGTTTTATATTTTGCTAACACTTTGCAAAGCATTCTTTTTCAATATTTGACATAAATGTGTATATGCAGTATGAGGTGAAAGTGGAAAATTCAATCTATTACACAGGCCAGATAGGATCACAAAGCATGAAAGGTAATGCAGCAAAGCTAGAGTTAGTATAGTCTTCATGTTAACTTCCCCTTTGTAGTTAAAGGGGATGCAGCATACAGGCTAATGCAAGCCTCTTTGTTCTTTTTGGCCTTAAAGCTAAGAAGTTTGGCTAAGCTTTTGAGTTTTAGTCGCTGTTGCTTTGGAAAACTCAGCTGGAGAATTTGATGGGCAAGCTCTTATACAAGAGAATGACATCACTCAAATTGGTTCTTGTTCCCCACCTGCTGGCAGGAAATCATCAGCTCAGTTAGTTGGCTTGTTTTAGAGGAATGAAAGAAGTTTTGAGGGATACAAATATATTCAAATGAAACTGGAAAAGTATGGTATATTTAACACAGAAATAGGTTAGAAATTAACTCTGATACAAAAATGTTAATTTTATTGCCTGTTTTAGAAGTTCTCCAGTGCTAAGTGGCTTTTGTATTTTAGGTAGGAACGGTTGTGGAAGTGAAGAATCCAGATGGAACGTACCAGGAAGCGGTTATCAACAAATTAACAGATGCAAGTTGGTACACTGTAGGTAAGAGGAATAGTTATGTATTTGAATAAAACTCATGATGTAAAAATAAGCCTTTGATCTTGACATGTCTTAAGTATGGTGAGAGAGAAGTTTTGGAAACGCTTAGGTATTCAAAGTTTGTATTAAAAAACCTCCAAAATACTTCTTATTTTGGGTTTTTATAAGAAATTTTACCCCTCACAATCTGAAATTGAGACCCCAAATAAAGATGTAGTAATTTGCTCAGTAATTGGTAACTGTTTCTTAGAAATGTAATGTACCATTGTTAAATATTCTGAAACAAAGTATGCTGTCATACTTCCTTGAAGTAGGACAAGTGCTTTTGAAACACAAGTTGCAATACTTATTTTTCCGTACTCTCAGACTTAGCCCTGATAACAGCTGCTATAAAAACAAACATAGCTTGTTTTTTTTAAAAAGTCTTTTCCTGTTCGTTTTCCCTATTGTCCAATGTGACATTTCAGACTTCAGATGATGTATCCACATGCCTGCAAGGAAATACAACTTTTTTTTCCCCCTTAAATGTTTATTTTAAAGGTTTTATATCCATGGGTTTACTCATTGATATGATGTACCATTAGATCAGTCTGTCTTGGGGAAAACTGGTCAACTGTAGAATGATAACAAATATTCCATCTGTGCACTGGTAGTCTTAAAGGTCCTACAGGAAATGTATTGATTCTTGAGAAACTACCTACTTCTCTCCTTGTCAGATAACTGGGATATAGGAAGATGAAGACCAGGTCTTGAAAGAACCTTACTAAGACTTAGATGTTTTGAGATATTAATTTGTTTATTGATTAAGTGATGCTGAACGACTAGGGAAAATTAGTTTTTTTCCTAGTCATAGTCCTTTTAGAAAGGAATAGAGCTGTAAATTTAGGTAAGACCTTTCAGATGAGTGTTGCAGAAAATATATGTTTTCTTGTTGGAGAAGTAGAATGTATGAGTAAAGAAGAGACCAGGTTAGGATAAGGTGAGACATGGGGTATAAATACAAGAATTACCATTATAAATAGTGTTTTGTAATTAGAAGAATAGAAGTGGAGCAGATATGAGAGCTTTTAAGAGCAAAATGGTATAGCTGGTGTTAGAACTATGTTGTATGTAAACATTTATGCTTCTGAGAAAGCGTGAGATTAGCAGTTCAAAAAGAAGAATGTGATAGGAGTCCATGCAGATTGAATTTTGAAGGTGTCATAGAGTTGCAGTCTGTAAATCAAAGTAGATGTCTGTCAGAAATCCTGAACTTGAGAAATAGGAAGAGGAGATGTGAGAGCTGAGACTGAAACCCATGTTTTATAGATAAACGTAGACAAAAGTATGTTGACCTTGCTGAATCAGTAAAAGTAGCACAGCTGCTGGCTGTGTAATGCACTTGGAGAGAGAGAAGTGACTCTAGCAGTGAATGATTATTCTAATCTTTGTCGGGAGGCTGAGTAGAATGAGACTGAATTTATCTTCACAGACAGTGATGACTTTGCAGATCTGAGTGAAAGTCCTACTTGAAGGGTAGTTATGATTTATCAGATTTCTGAATTAGCACAAATCTTAACCAGCAGAGTTACATAATGTTGTCCTAAGACTTGTTCAGAAGGGTGTAATTACTTGTGTTGTTGATGATTTTGTGAATACAATTATTTGGTCAAAAACTTCATGTGAAGGGACAGATAGATCTGAAGTAGTACCTTTCCAGATGTTATTACTGAAGACCATTTATGCCACTGCAGTGGTAGCATGTAGAATTTAGAGGAATAACCATTTCAGGGCTGCTTGAAAACTCTTTTAACAGAAAAAGGTATGGAAAAGGTTTTTTTTAAGAGCATCCCCGTCTGCCTTGTATTCATAAGATATTGTCTGAGTAGAAATTGTACATCAGTTAGTTTCTGTGTCTTTTTCGGTGCTACTACTTTCCTACCATAGGAAGATAGGAACTAAATTAAATTAAAATAACCCAACTAGTGTAGCCTTTTTAAAATTAGTATAGCACACTTGCATAAATACATGAAGTGTCCTTAGTTTATTTGCCTGTCCTATAAAAATTCCTCAAAAAGCTCAAGGTATTCCAATCCTGGTGACTAGATAGTGTTTCATCATTCAAATAAATGTGTTTTCAGAAAGTATAAGTTATATTCTTAACATTTAACTCTATATTTACTATGAGGGAAAAACAAACAACAAACCCATAGAATTGTTTGCTTTACTAAAAATGCAGAATTGTGCATGTTCAAAAGTAGTCTTATCCCCTTCTTCACTTTTTTGTCATTACATTGCTTTTTCTCAGAATTCAAAGTGGTTTTATTATTATGAAATTGCCTCTTTTTTTCCTTTTCCTTGCAGTTTCTGAATAGGTGTTTTTAAATGCATTACACTCCTGTTAAGTCTGCTCAGTAGATGGCTTTGAGGATGTCCCATTAGGTTAGAATGTCGTGTGCGTTACAGCCGTATGTGCTGTGCTGGCCTCACAAGTCTCTCAGGGAGGTGAAGCTTTTCCTTTGAATGTATTCATGTTATAGAACAAGATTAAGGATCCCTCTGGCAGGGAAGAGGGCACAAGCAGATTACCACGTAGGATACATAATGTGGCTACCTACGTAGTGCTAAGTAGGCTGACCTCTGTTGTAGTCAGCTTATCCCTTGAAGTGGATAGATTTATTTTTTTCCCAATCTCTCATTATGTAAAGAGACTGTTATGTTAATTACACAAACTGAATTAGGAACCTGCTGCCTTCTACTTCACTTAATGAGGTGGGGGCATAATTATGTGTTGACCAACTTCAAATGTATGTGTTTTCTTGTGCAGTTCTTGCTTGATGCTTTTCAACAAATTTTGAAGTGCCCTTTGTAACTGATACTTTATCCCTAACAGTACTCAACAATTACTGTCATATAAAACACAGACTGGGGAATGGTAGTCACAAGTTTCTTCTTCAACAGTGCTTAGTTTTATATAGGGATGAAAATTTCTCAGAACCAGGTAGAAGTTACTTTCATATTGAATAAATACTAGTAAAAAAAAATTGATGTACCTTGTTGCTTTTTGTATATCTTAATTTAAATTAGTAATGTTGGAAATAGAGTATAGCACCCACTATTTGAAAGCCAGACATGGCTGAAAATTAATCTCTAATCTTGCCAAGCATCTTTTGCCAGTTGACAGCCATTCTCCTAACACTGTTATTTTGACTCTTGTGAAAGTGTTTACATATTTTTAGTTTTCTACCACATGATTGAATTCTAGTAAGACTGACAGAATCAGACTTGGCAGTACTGTTGATGGACAGAAGAGAAGATTTGAATGAAGGTGAAAGAGACATGTTAAGAAATTGCTGAAACTTTTAATGTAATATTTTAATTAATCTTGGAGTTGGTTCCATGCCCACAAAAGTCTTCAAGGTCACTACAGTGTGGGGACAAGAATATGATTGTTATTACTGTTGAGGAGGGGAAAGGAGGTCAGTTCTTGTCTTGCTTAACAGTGCAAAGATAGCCTGAGAGTTAAAACTTGTCACCAAGTTTTCATCTGTTAAGTACTTGTAGAAGACTTGACAAAAACTTACTTTTTATAGGACCATTTTATCAGCTTCTGAAGATCCCACCTTGCATATGTGCAGTGCATTTCAGGATTTGAAAGGATAAAGTATGTAGCTGAAGCCAGTGGTATTATGAACTTGTTTACAGTTGACCTAGTGAGAGCAGAAGCAACAGAAAGTCTAGAAACCAGGAGCTCCACAGTTCTCACTACAACTGGTTCTGATAATTGTCTGCCCTTTGACAATTGTCATCTTCCTGTGGGCTGATGTCACTCTTGTTTTATAGTGTAGCTGAGTGAAGACAGTAGAGAAAGGTGTTAGAACTTTTCTGTAACGTTAACTTTTTTCTCAAAATATCCTTTTATGTTTCTCCATGGTAAGCATTGCTTCCATTTGAATGTTGGAGGAGCTCTGGTTATATATTAAAGTGCTGCAAACATCAAAAATGCTTGAGGAATAGTTTTTCAGTTCTAGTGTGCATTGATTTTTAATTTTGTGTCCTGATCCATGAATTGTCTGTTCAGTTACTGATTTCTTAAGATTCCATTTAACATATACAAGCATGGAGTAGCTGTGGTGAGACAGCAGCCTGTGTATTTGGTTGATCTGTGCAAATGCTTTACTGGATATGCGAGCAGTATCCAGGTGCAGCTTTGTTTTAAGGACTGGCTACAGGAATATATATCTCATTCCTTAATACCTAAATCAATCACTTATTGATAACCTGATTTTTTTTTTAAAAAAATATTTTTTTTCTGTCTTTTTTTCTTGCCTCATTTCTTACCTGGTGACAGTATTTGATGACGGTGATGAGAAGACTCTTAGTTTTTTTTCCCTGTGTTTAAAAGGAGAAAGACATTTTGCTGAAAGCGAGGTAATTGAATAATTTTTATACAACAATTTTATGAAATACAATTAAATTTCACCAAATTGGGTAAGTTAAGAAACAAAATCAGTATTTCATATTTTTAATTTTTATATTACTAATGGTTCATAGATTTTTAGATCACACAAAAAACTGCAATCACACAACTACTTTGCTTTATATATATAATAAAATCTGTAAGTATTTATTGGGAAAAAAATCAAAATATGGTACTTGAAAAAAACAAATGTACCTCTTTGGACATAATTAAGTTCTGCTGGATTTTAGGTAGATGATCAAGTCTAGTTCGTAATAGCTGATGAGCTTGGAAGAACAAGACTTTTCTTTTAAAAGGCAAATTATAAGTTACTGTTGCCTGTTCATTTCAAGACAGTTATCAATATTTTGAAGCTGGTTCATGTCTTAAAGATGACTTGCATATTAAAGTATGCAGACATTTGTAGCAAATTTCAAGTAGTTGAAATTTCAGAATGAGGGTTATTCCTTCTTATTATGTAAGACAATCTGGACTGATGGGCAGATTTATGTAAACATGTTAGCTTGTTGGAAAGCGATGGAAGACAAGTTTTTTTACTCTATGTAAATATGCTCTTATTATTGTAGTCAGCTGAGCTTGTTGCCTGCTTACTGCATTCTTTTGAAGGTTTAGATAGATGCCTTCTAGAATCCTGTCAAGATTAAACACATGTAAAGAAGGCGGCCTAATTACATATTTAAATCTGGATTCAAGATATAAATGCCATAATTTTAAAGACTGTGTTGTTCCTTTCAATTAGCTCTTTGTTATTAATGATCAGCACTCCTGAAAATCAGATTGCTTCTCTTCAATAAATAGTATCTTAATGTGCTTTCAGGTGTATTTATACAGTAAGCAGGTTGAAAATTTTAGTGTGTGTGTATATATATATATATATATATATATATATTGCTTTGTGACCTGTTTGGCTGAACAAGAGTAATTCAGATTATTTTGTCAGATTCAGAGAAACCTTACATTCAGGTGACTCCTGCTTTTTATTTTATCATCATTCTTATCTTAGCTTTTGATGTCTTGTCGTAAGTCACTGATACGCAATCCATTGTCACCAGCCCTCAATAAAATGCATGTTGTGCATTTCTAATAATTCCCTCATGATTGCATAGCTATTCAGCAGGGGAAATTGTATCTCCAGTTTCCTTTGTAATTAGACCAGTGCCACATGGTTGTCTTGTTCTGATGTTGCTTTATCTTCATCTCTGACTTCCCAAGAGTGTGGAATCTTTTAGGGTGTCCACCACACTCAGAAGTAATAGTACATTTACTTTAAAATTTAAAAAGCTGGTTTTATTGTCTCTGTGTCCAGTTCTGTGGACACAGAATACCTTTGAGATTCTTTTTGGCATTTCATATTTAAAAATTCATACACGACTCAGAAATGTAGGTCAGAGGACCATGTTTACTGTGGAAGCCTTTGTGCTGTCTTTCAAAGAACAAGTGTCTATACAAAAAAACTGTGTGTACCAGGAGCCTTCACATCTGGAATGGTTATAATTTAGACAACAGCAGTCTTAGGGAAAGTTTTAAGAAGATGCTGTGTGTTCATGAAGTCCTTCTTTTGATACTTTAGCTTTCTCCCTGAATGGAGAAAGTTCTTTTTTTCCCTTCCTTTCTTTTTGTTTTGATGCTAGTATAGCATCAATTAGCACTCTCCCAATTATCAGTACAGCAACCTCTTGAAATTGTTTTAGAATCCTTCTCTCCCATATTAAATTATGAATTTCTAACAAAAATGCAATTAACTTGTCATGTTTGCTGCTACTGACTTATCTTGCAGTTTCATTTCATAGGAGACTTTTGTTCATTTTTAAGTAGATGACTGAGTGTTTAGTCTGATGATAGGACATGCAGAAAATTCATCCCATAGAGATGGAATATCTAGACCAACAGAATACCTTTTATTTAATTGTCTGTGTTTGAATGGTCCAAAGGCAGGACTTCTGGGAAGAATTGTCTGCGTGTGTGTTGGACAAATGTTAATTTTTAGAGGTGGGGAGAAAGTATTGGGGGAAAAAAAACCAAACAAACCCCAAACAAAAGACATTACTACATTACTGCTGTGCTTCTTTATTTCTTTTGTAATGAGAAAGTCACTCTATTGAAAAAAATTACTTTAACCAGATTATACAAACTGGTTTGGAGAATAATTTATGCCAGGTTTTTTATATGTGTTTGTAAATTTATTTTTTAATTTCAACAGACATTAGATCAGCTTCCACTCACAAATCCTGAACACTTTGGGACTCCTGTTATAGGAAAGAAAACAAACAGAGGAAGGAGATCCAATCATATGTAAGTTTAGCATCTTTATGTCTGTATTCAATTCTGAAGCTTTCAGTGTGCGTGGAGTTTTATTATTTGTATGTTCAGGCTTCTCTTATTAAAAAAACAGGAAGCTATATGGTAAATGCTGTTCAGCACTCAGACTGCAAGTCAATTTTGCGTGCATTGTTGCATGCAAAAATTGCAACAAGTCTTCATGTAATCACTATTTAAAATAGTACCAGGTATAGGCAAGAGGTTTTTTTCCTGGTTATTTGAATAAAAAAAGAAGGTGGCATATCAAGTGGAAATGTGTTGTTAAGCTATATTCAGAGACTTCTCTGTAGTAGAATATTAGTGTTATAAATGTGTTGGAATCAAACTAAAATCGTTACAATGCAGTCTTTGTCCAGCTGATAACAAGTCTTTGTGGAAGGTACTGAAGTCTTCATGCAGACCTTTGGTTTCTCATTACAAGGTCTCTGAAGGGCTTTTAGAAATAGGTGAGCAGTATTACAGTTTGCAGCAAAGCTTACTGATAGAAAAACATAGTTCAAGAGTAGTGACTTGGTTTCCTAGGTGCCAGTATTCTTGGTAGTTGTTATCTTGAAAAACCAGTGTTAGATACTCCACCTACTGTTCTTTGTTTTTTGTGGGTAGGGGTTTTTTTGGTGGGTTTTGGGGGGATGTTGTTTGTTTGTTTTTGTTTTTAAAGTTTTGAGATGGTAGTGGCTGGGATGGGAAAGAAATTTTCATGCTTGGATTACCCTTTCACACTCTGTCTTTTTGATAGCTTGAAATAATTATTGCCCTGTATATTTAGAGGTACTATAAATTTTCTCAATTATTTATTTACGAATTTGTGATTCATTGAAGGAAAAATATGGAAAAGGCTGGCATATACCACAGAGAATGTGATTGCAGCATTCCTGGTGTCTGTGAATGGGTTATTGTCTTGTCTGTTTCCCTAGTTGTACAGGACATTATTGTGGCAGAAACAACACACTTGTCTGTATTGTAGGATTAATACTAACTGAGCTGAGCAAAAAGACAAAGTGCACACATGCTAGTATAGCTGAGCTGAGTTGTAGTCTCTCTGAAATAGTCCTGGCTTTCTGTCTAGTCCTTGACTTCTTTCTCTTCCCACAAGAGATCCTCAAACCTCAGAAAGCAGCCTGAAGGACTTTCATACTGTATTTTAAAATAAATCACTAATTTAAAAAAAGATGCTGGGGCGAAAAAGCCCCAATGCTTGATTAACACTGCAAATAATGACATAAAATTAGGATGGGGAAAGTGAAACATAATAATTCACTTTAGATGGTAAATCAGTTGTCTTCTGTTACACAAATGCTAACTGTGAGTCTTCTGTTAATATTGAACTTTGTACTCAAAAGTAGTTATGTAAAAAATTGAAATTAGCTTTTAAAATTCTGCTTGTTGTGCTCACTGAACTTGCTGTGTATTTTCTGAGAATTAACCTTCAAAGTGACTATTAAAAAGAAAAAATCTGTATCTAGAGAGAGACATGAATGCTGATTTTAGTTGGAGTAGTTTTGTACATTTAGATTCCCCATGTGGTTAAAACCAGGTGCAACTTTGTACAGGAACAGTCAGAACAATGAGCCAGAACCTTTTTTAATCAACGTGTATTTGCACCTTTGCCCATCTACTTAGATTCCAACACTTCATTCAATGTGAAATTTAAACAGTCATTGAAATGCTTCACTGCACATCTTTAAAGAACTATTTCAGAATAAATAGACTTCTTTTTCTCTTTGCTATTCATCTTCATAGCTGATGTTTCTTCTTTAGAGATTTATCCTCTCTCAAAATAGCTTTTTATTCTGTATGGCTGTTAAAGTAAAAGCATAGAGAGGTTAAGAGGAAAACCAAAACCGTTTAGCTTAACATTGGTCCAAAATTACAACTGCAACAGTATTTTTGAACAGTGTTTCACTAGGGCAGAATTCTTGTTTTGAATGTCATGGCAGTGCATTTGTGTTCCTCCATATGGATTCATGATGGTGTGTTGTTTGGTTTTTGCTTATATTACATGTAGATGTGCATTTCTGAGTTTGTGATGTTTGATTTGTTCTTGTAATATGGTTATAAATACTTCTGTTAATTTTTATCCTAAAACACTTAACAAGCAATTCAAGTCACTGTTACTTATGCCTCTTTGACAATTGCCTTTGGATCTCCAGTAATTATTATAGACAAGTGTGAATAGTTGAGTTTTAAGTCTTTTTCTGTTGTTTAGTCCTGAAGAAGAATCTTCATCCTCTTCCAGCGATGAAGATGAAGATGATAGGAAACAAAGTGACGAGTTATTAGGAAAAGTTGTGTGTGTGGACTGCTTCAGTGTGGATAAAAAGAAAGCTCTGTGGTTTCCAGCCTTGGTAAGGGTTTCATCTTTATTTTAATTTTGTAAAGTTTCATTCATTTTCTACGCACCAAAGAAAGATGGCGTTTTAAATTGTTGATGAATTAATCTATATTTTTATTAGAACTTAGTATGTTTCTTCAAATTGGACTGTATCATAATAGTCAAAGGAAATATTTTATATGTAAATATTTGTTTACAAAAAGTGATTGCTAATGTGGCTTTAGTTTTTCCCAACAGCCAGAGCTGGTTGAAGTAATTCCAGCTTAACAGTGTGTTTACTACTATGGAACTGAAATTTCAGGGCTTTTCTCCTAGGCTATTGCATGTCATTTTTCTGAATTACCAATTTTTACCAAGGAAGAAAATACAAAGAAGTGCAAATAGAGGGGAAGTTTGGTCATTACATAGATTATTTTTCTAGCGTCAATATAAACACATTTGGTAATGAAATCAAATGTTTTTTCTTTGTTGCTGTGGTAGGTAGTAGAGAATTGCCAATAAATTCCTTTAAAATAACATTGTAGTTTTTTAGTACAAATATTTTCTTCCATTATTCTAGTTTAAAGGCACTTTTTTGTAAATAAACTTCTAATAAAATGTCACTCCTAGTCTAAAGATTGTGTATCGACAGACTGATATATTTGGAAATAAATGTATTTCCAATATGTGGTACCTTCTAGTACCATGCTTTTTAATTTTTATTTTATTACTAATTATAAATATTTGAATAATTTATCTCTGGCAAATAAATGTTTATTTAATTTCAGGAAGACTTATGCTCTGCTTTAGAAGTAACATTTAACCCTTCTTAGTGTGTGCAATAACTCTCAGTTGCAACTTTCTACTTGTCCCCTCCTTGCAATGCAGTCCAGAGGCCTTCCAGCGGGACTTCAGGACTTCTTTTGGAAAAGCTGATGGGAGAGAATGAGTCATTGAAGTCTTTTTTTACGAGGGAGGGGGCAGAATATACAGCAAGGAGAGATCATGTTAATGGCAGCTTTAAGAGAGGTTTTCAGTAATAGACTAGGAAATCGATCTGTTTCTCTACTGAAAAATGTAATCAGGATGGATGCAGCATTGCCTGCCTCCCAGGTGCACTCTAAGAAGTGGTCAGTTAGACTGGCTTGAGCTGGTTTATGTCACACTGCTGGGTTAGTCCTTCTGGACATCCACGTGACAGGTGGTGGTTTCCCTGGCAGCCTCTCTGGTAGGTATTGGGCTTGCACGTGACCAGTGTAGTGCTGCTCAGGATAGCTGTGGGTCAGACCTTAAAGACAACTGAATTGTTGCTTATGCTCCCAGGTATACTAAACATACACACTGTTATTTCTTTGGCTTTCATTTGGAGATTGGAATAGCTCATTCTTCATGGAAAGCTTCCTGCAATGAAGGAGAAGCAGTAGGGGGATGGAGTTTGAGAGTGGAGCTTGTTAACTCTGAAATAGTTTATCCTAGATTAACTCTTATTTTAGTAATCAGGTTTATAGCTCTGCAAATAAACATCATACTGCATTTAACCTGAAAAGTTATGCCAGAGAATAGATTTATGCCCCAAATAGGTTTAGGGGTTTTTTGGGTGTTTTGGGGTTGTTTTTTGTTGTTGTTTGGTTGTTTTGGGTTTTTTTTAATCCTCTCGCCTGTAGCTATGCCTCTCCATTCTTTTGCCTTGTAAACAGGTTATCTCTACTATATCAACAAAGTAATTTTATCTTATTGCTGATAAATTTTGCTTTAACTTTGCATAATGTTATTTGTAATTATGTGAATAATGAAATGAAAATTCAGGTTTAATATGCTGAAGGGCACATATCTCCGAATTACTTTGTTCTAGTGATATTGTGTACCGATACGCTTTGTGAATAAGCATAGAGGACATTGTGCAAGTTTATTATGTGAAAAGAAGTTCAGGGATTAGTTTAAACCTTTACAGCAAGTAACAGTTAAGATTAGTAGTGGAAACTGATTACTTTGAATATTAGTCCTATAACCAGATAGCCTGTCACTTATAAATGGAAAATTGTAGAGATATAAATGTGGTAAAAATTATTCTGAGGACTCGGTGATTGACTACATTGTTTTAATCCTGCATGCATGGTGTTTTGTTTTGTTTGGTTGGGGTTTTTTTGTGGGGTTTTTTGTGCCTTTTTGGAGGAGGGAATGGGTACATAGAGAGCAGTCACTAATTGTAATTGTAAAAATGCATGGCAGTTGCTCCTTATGGCAGAGTGTGATTTAGTAAACCTTAAAGCATTGCACGGTTTTAATGCATACTTAAAGGCTTTTGGAAGGTACGATGAGGAAATCTGCTTGCAGCATTTTCAGAAAATTGAGTTTACGTAGGATCATCTCTCTCATCCTCCTGTGACTCCAGTGGAGTTTGTTTTGCAAGGAAATTGAGAAAACTTAATTCAGGCAAAACTGAGGTCATGTTGCTTGATGTGAAGGCAATAGATGAGGTTGTAGCAAGCTGTTTTCCAACTTCTGAATGAATTTCTGGCTACTAAAATCTTGGTGCTTCTAGAAAACCAATAGCTAACGCCAGGAGAGCCTTCCTCCATCTCTAGAGACCTAGGACATTGCACCTCTCGTTTCAAATGGGGGACGATACTCAAATGTCTTTTACCTTGATATTAAAACTCTGTTGCAAACGGAATCTCAATCTACATTTCAATTAGTACTTTGTTGTTTTGTGAAGTAACTTATTTGGAGAGTGTAGAATGCATTGAATTTCCAGACTTAAGCTATTAAGTTCTATTACTTTTGAGAAGCATATTTAGCCTATGCTCTGTGATACACAACTCTGTTTCCAAATCAGTTGGAGCTTTAGACTTTACCTTCTAAAATGCTATTTCCTCTTTACGTAGGCCAGTGACCTATGTAAAGAGGAAAAAAAGGTTTTGTCTTGCATTATGTCTGTGTATTTGGTGGAAAAAGTAGGACTGAAAGCAGTTGGTGTAAGAGAGAAGAGGCATTTACTAAGGCTAAATTAGGACTGCAGTCATTTGCTGCTCCTTGGGGTTTTGTAGCAGCCAGAATTTTCTTAATTTTCGGGGAACTACACATGTTTTGAGAGAAGAGAGATGAGTGGTGAATAGGATTGCTAGTCTGTTCTGTAACTCTGGAAATTCAGTATGTCTATTTTATTAAATTCATTAAGCTTTTTAATTAGTGACTTCTATACTGGTTTAACAAAACTTAAATAGCTTTTAAAATTGCAACAAATAATTAACTGTCTCAGTGCTAGATTTGATTAGTCTTCTGGAGTTGAAGAACCTATCATAATATGTGTACTTGAGGCACTCTTCTCTCCTAGGTGGATAACTTATGAATGCTCCATTACAAAATTGCATTTCATAAATTCTGTGTGACTTTGTCTTTACACAAATTGCAATTTCTGGAAGTTTGTCAGAAGAAGTCTAACTCGAGTGGCAGCACTTGATTCAAGTTTGGTCCTTTTAGGATGAGGAGTAGAATAAGCTGTAGTGGCATGACAGGTACTTACTTAACTTTTGTATGAATGCTGTTTTTACTTAAGTCTCTGGTAGCAGCTGTCAGTTCTCTCTAGGAAGCAGGCATGAGCTCACACATCCAGTAATTTCAGAAGTTCATAATTGCTGTGTTTTGAGGGATCTCAGCTGCTCTCATCTCAGCATTGCTAAAGAGAAATGAGCCCAAAAGGTTTTTGAAAACCACTGATACATACTATTAACCTGATGTTTTTCCTCTTTCTCTCTAAACTTTGCATTTGTAATACCTTTGCAGGTGGTTTGTCCAGACTGTAGTGATGATATTGCAGTGAAAAAAGACAATATTCTCGTTCGTTCTTTCAAGGATGGCAAATTGTGAGTAGGAATGTAGATGCTGATAACTGAATTAAAATCTGTACCATTCAAGTGAAATGTAGTATGAGATGTGTTATATAAAGTATTAATAACATCAGTAAGCTCAGTAAGTTTCTGCCAAGATTTTTCTAACGTTTAGAAAGCTGTTAACAGCCTACATTGTGATGAAATTAGTCTTGAACTTTGTCATTATTAATAATGAAATGCATAAATCTCTCTGTCTTAGGTTTTATTTCATTGTTACAATGCTGGCAAACAAAGCAGCATTTCGTGACTTTGAGAATGGCTTGAGACTCTTCCCTGCTCTGGGTGGAATAGGGCGCTGCTGTTCAGAGATGTGTCCCTAAGCTTATGCAGCTACAGAAGGGGATGGGTGGGGGTGTGTGCATGCACGCACGTACACACCACACACACACACCACCCACGCACACACACCCTCTTTCTTTTTTTTTTTTTTTTTTTTGAGGAAGTAAGGCATATGTTTATCTCAGTCTAGACTACAACTGTGTATTACCATGTTCTTTGAAGAGATGTCATGCTACTCAAAGTAGGAAAGAAAACAAGAGAAACCTAGAAACCCAGACTGTGTGGTATTTGCAACAGAATAAGGAACTTCATGTTCTTAAACTCATGTTGGTCAGGGAGGGGGTTGATGGATGACAACAGAATTCTTTTTTCTAGGTTTTAGCTGCAACTTTTAAAATAAAAACTATTTATTGTGCTTGGCTCAATTTAACAGAATGCTTTTGCAGAAAGGATATTGAAATATTTAACAGTTTCATTGTGGTTTAATTACTCACTAAGTCTAGGCTATGGCTTTACCATTTGATAATTATTCAGGCATCAATGCACATCACTGGAGATGGAGAAACACACTTAAGCATGTGTGCACACAAGCACGTAACCCTCCCCCCCCCACCCCTCAAAGCTGCAGTTCAAGTTTGCTTCCTCAGATGTAGCCATAATAGAAATTAAAAAGTGCTTTGTTCTTTCAATTTAGAAGTCCTTCATTTCATACTGGCAATTTATATTAATAATTATTTATGTTTTAAGCAAGGTAGGGTTTTGTTGTTTGCGGGTGAGTAGTTACTTGCTAAATTAGCATGAGGTTTTTATTAAGTAATATATATTTGGGAGATTCCAGAAACAACCTACTAGTGGAAGAAGAATGCATTCTTTAATATGCAGTGAATGCATGTGTATGGTCTAACCAAATTTATGTAGAAGTTTTGTTTTTAATCCACTGACTAATACTAGACTAGACTAATGTTGTAGAATTGTCAAGGTATAGTTCATATGCTTCTTTTGTGTGTTTAGTAAGTGTGTTATAGTCTTAGTGATACCTTTGTATTATACTATTAATTTAGCTATAAAATATTTTAAAATATTTTTTTAACACTTTCTAAATCATCTAGCATTTCTGTGCCAAGAAAAGATGTTCGGGAGATTAATGAAACTTCACCAAAGCCTGACGCTTTGTTAAAACAAGGTAAAAATAACTTTCTATGAGAAAAAACGTGTATGTATTTACTTTGTTACGTAAATTGCACTGAATTTATGGTAAATTGGTTCACATCTTAAAATTGCTAAAATACAAGATCTTTTCCTATAGCATAAGAGGCAGATAGAACTTAGAATTACTTTGTGCTTATTTCTTCCTCCTTCTTTTCCCACAGTGTAAACCTGTTGGAATAGGGGTTCTCTTAATTAAGTTTTCATATATGCCCTGATACAGAAGATCCTTGTTTTTGTCTTTAGAAACTAACATGGTAATAATCATAATAATAGCTCTGAATAATTTGATGTGCAGGGAACACTAGGACAGTTTGTGTGGGTAAGAGAAATAAGGATGGACAACACAGGGTTGTTGTTGAGGTCCTTTGAATTTGGGGGTTGAATTGTTAATTAGCAGTCTTTCATTCCCCTTCCCCCCCACCCCAACTACTTTTTTTGATTAAAAAATTTTGTCAAACTGATACTTCCTGCAGTGCTAACAAATGCTGGACCTTTTGCAGCTTTTGACCAAGCCCTTGAATTCCGTAAAAACAGAACTGTTCCTAGTAACTGGAAAACAGAATTGAAAGAAGACAGTTCCAGCAGTGAAGCTGAAGAAGAGGAAGAGGATGAAAAAGAAAAAGAGGATAACAGCAGTGAAGAAGAGGCAAGTGAAGTTAGTAAAGGGCGTAGATACACGGCTGATAAATATTACAGTCTTGATAATTTTTAACTAGGTCTTTTTTTTTTTTTTTGACATTTGGCAATATTTAACATGTTAACATAGGAAGTATTGTTCACATAGGCAACATTATTGCCTCTCAACTTTCAAAATCTTTGTTCAACAAAGATCAGTTAATGTGAAAATACCAACTTGAAAATCTAACAAATATATTTGAGTCACTGAGCAAAAAAACATATAGTCAAAAGAAATTAAAACTCAAAGGAAGATCCTGTTTTATAATCTTTCCCGTGCTGATTTTCATGCAGTGGCAGATGGGGTTGCAATACCTACTAGGGACTGAGCAGGTTGAAGAAGGGTAGATGTTGGTGTCTGCTGTCAAGTGTATTGATTTTTCTAAAAGAAAAAAGATTTCCCTTAGTTGGGTGTGTTTCTAAATGGAACTTACCTGCTAGTTGTTAAAGGTCTGGCTGCCTTTTGACTGAGGAGATCTATATAGCTAAAATATATTTAAGTTGTTTCTGATAAAGCATATGTGGTGCTTAAATTATTTTTTATAACTTTAAAACAAAGGTCTCTTTCTGGTTTTTGGGTTTGTTTTTTTTTTTTAAACTTCCGCAATTATGTTTTGCAACTGTATGTAAATCCAGATTGGCCTTTTCTTTGCACATACTGTCCCAGGATTGGCAAAGGAGTGTTTTTTCACTGATGTAGAACTTTAGGTTTCTTTGTGTGATATTAATTCCTGGGCTATAATGTTAGTCATGGCCCAGATGGGTTTCTGGTTTGTAGTTCACTCTCCCTACAAATAAACAGTAGTTTGCCCTTCTATAATAATGCAGTGTGTTGTAGTGTGCAGAAGGGTGTAGTTTCCCCCCGTAGTTTGTCTTGCATCTGCTTTATTATATATTATGTCAATGTTGATTTATTTTCCCCTTGGTGGCCATGGGGTGAGTTCTGTGCATGCTAAAATCATGCTACTGTAAATAGCTGCTCATTTACATGATAAACTTTTCTCCTGGCTCTAGAACTGTTAACCCCAGTACTTACTCGTGACCTACCCCATGTTCCAAGCCATGGGGTTTTTTGCTACCTTTTACACAGGAGCTCTATCTGAGGAGGCAGCTCTAAGCTGTTACTGACCTGCATTCTTGACATATTTGAAAAATAAACCAAATTGGGCTGGCATAGCTTTGCTGTTGTCTCCTCCTCCCTTGTGTCTCTGTCACTCTGTCCTCCTTCCCCTTCTACCTTACCCTTTCCTGCCCCCAAATTGCTATGCTAGGCCTACAGCTGTAGGTCCTCTTGTAAAGCAAATATTGCAAGTAGTTTGAACTGTTCTTTCCTGGCTTCCATCTGTAGAAAATGGAGTTTACTGATTTTGGAGTGGTGAAAAGTGAGAGATTTTGAAATCTTTAGATAATTACCAAGAAATCTGAGTTGTTATACATCTCTCTTATCCTGGTCTACTAAAGAATTGCTTCATTACAAGCTATCTCCCTGGCTACCCTGATGTAAAGAAGCAAAAGAGCTTTCAATCAAGTCATTAGCCCATGCACTCCTCTTCCATCTTTCTTCTCTCTTTTGTCCTGGAAGTATGGTGTCCTACCTCATGCTTGGTTTTCTAATTATCTATTCTTTCCTCCCAGCCTCCTGTTCAGAAAAAAATGAAGACAAGTGGAAAGAAAAAAAATTAGTGGAAAGACATCTTTCACATCTGGCTGTGAGGCTGGAAGAGGGGCTTTTGACTCTTTTACTTCCTCTGTACCTTCTGGTGGTACTCAAAATCTGCCTATTATCACTTTTTCTCTCACTGGGGTTTGAGAACTGTTGTGTAATTTCTTATGCAACTGCCAGTAATGCAGTAGACTTGAAATTCCCATCAATAGTGGAATTGTAAAGGAGAGACTGAACTGGTTTGGGTCTTAAATGGTTGTTATGGTCTTTCTCTCAATACATCCTTCCTGGAGTTTGTGGCTCTGGCATACCAGAAGATGATGTTTCATCTCTTATTCATTCATTTCTTTAATTTAAGATTTGTTGGGAGACTGCAAAGGTGTGAAGTAAAAACTTTGCCACCTCTCCATGGTTATGAGTTCATTTTGCCTCCTCTTTAAGCTCACAGGAGACTGTCCAGCTCTGATCGAAAGTTCCAAAGCCCAGTTTGCAAGGGGCTGTGCTCTACTTAGTATTTCAAGAAGCAAGGAGTACTTCCTTGGCCTCAGTACTAATTCCTGAGCTTTCAGGGAAGGTTCATGTCCAGCCATAGGCATGATGAATGTAGGTGGGTTTGTACCTATGCAGATTGACACACAATCTTTATATACTGATCATTCCCTCACAACTTTTAGGTGAAAAATTCAGTTTTTAGCTACAGTGTTTGTAAATATTTGACCTTGCACTCTTTGTGCACCTTCTGTTTAGCTCCTCTTAGTTGCATGTGATGTTGTATGAGCTAGTCTTTCTATGGGCTAGACATGAAGATCTCGGCAAATATTTTTGGGATTTACTGTGACATCTCTTGTGATAATTTCTTCTCCAGTATCCAATACTTCAGTCATCTGCTCAGCTAGTTTTCTGAGGCAGATTAGTTTGTTTATTTTCTTTTTTCTTCATCTTCTCTCTCCTCAGTGGTCAGTGGCCTCCACTTGCCTTTGACCATTTTCCGCAGCCTCCTCTCTTTTTTTTTTTTTAATATTGGCTTGTGCTGGTAACCTCCTGGCTGTCAAGCAGTGTCTCTTCTTGAACAGGACCTGTGGGCCTGCTCTTGGGACTTTGTTATCCACCTGCAAATTGTTCTAGTGTGTTCCTGGATATGAAAAATTCTTGCTGGTGGCCCTCAGGCTATCCCTATGGTCCTGGTACCCATGAACCAGAACAACAACAACAACAAAAAAGTCAAACCGAACAAACCCAAACAAAAAAACAACACACACACAGAAGACAAACCAGACCTCTTACATATGTCACTGCAGGCTTCCTATGTAGATGTCCCTATCCTATATATATTCACACACACTCCTGTAGATACTCATATACATATATATATATATTTTATATATAT